TAGTCGTAGTAGTAGTAGTAGCAGTAGTAGTAGTAGGAGTAGTAGTAGTAGTAGTGGTAGTAATGGTAGTAGTAGTAGCAGTAGTAGTAGTCGTCGCCATCGTAATAGTAATCGTAATCGCAATAGTCGTAGTAGTAGTAAATCCTAATTAAGTTAGTTCGAGTAAGATTATAGTAGTATAAGTAATAGTAGTATAGGAGTAGTTAGTGGAAGTAGTAGAAGTGTAGTAGTAGTAGTAGCAGTAGTAGTAGTAGTCGAAGTCGTAGTCATAGTCCATAGTCGTGTCGTAGTCGTAGGTGGAGTAGTAGTAGTAGTATAGTAGTAAGTAGTAGTAAGTATAGTAAGTAGTAAAGTAAGCAGCAGTAGTAGTCGTAGTAAGTAGTAGTCGTAGTAGTAATAAAGTATAGTAGTCGTAGTAGTGTAGTCGTCGTCGTCGTCGCCGTCGTAGTAGTAGTAGTAGTAGTAGTAGTCGTAGTAGTAGTAGTAGTAGTAGTAGTACTGGTAGTAGTAGTAGTAGTAGTAGTCGTAGTCGTAGTCGTAGTCGTGGTCGCAGTAATATTAGTAGTAGTAGTAGTGGTAGTAGTAGTTCTTGTTGTAGTAGTAGTAAAGTCGCAGTAGTAGTAGCAGTAGTAGTAGTAGTAATAGTAGTAGCAGTAGTAGTAGTAGTAGTAATAGTAGTAGTAGTAGTAGTAATAGTAGTCATAGTAGTAGTAGTAGTAGTAGTAGTAGTAGTCGGAGTAGTAGTAGTAGTGGTAGTGATGGTAGTAGTAGTAGCAGTAGTAGTAGTCGTCGCCATCGTAGTAGTAATCGTAATCGTAATCGTAATAGTCGTAGTAGTAGTAATACTAGTAGTAGTAATAGTAGTAGTAGTAGTAGTAGTAGTAGTCGTCGAAGTCGTAGTCGTAGTCATAGTCGTAGTCGTAGTCGTAGTAGTAGTAGTAGTAGTAGTAGCAGCAGTAGCAGCAGTAGGAGTAGTAGTAGTAGTAGTAGTCGTAGTAGTAGTAGTAGTCGTAGTAGTAGTAGTAGTAGTAGTAGTAGTAGTAGTAGTAGTAGTAGTAGTAGTAGTAGTAGTAGTAGTAGTAGTAGTAGTAGTAGTAGTAGTAGTAGTAGTAGTAGTAGTCTTGTTGTAGTAGTAGTAAAGTCGCAGTAGTAGTAGCAGTAGTAGAAGTAGAAGTAGTAGTAGCAGTAGTAGTAGTAGTAGTAGTCGTAATAGTAGTAGTAGTAATAATAATATCAATCGTACTTAGCAAACTGTTTGAGCAATCGGAATTCCCGTCCGCAGCTTAGCGGTGGACGAACTTCCTACTAGTACCAGTAGCACCCCTCCTCCGCATCCTCCTCCTCCTTCTCGCTACTTTCGAGGGTTGCGAGGGGCTCCAGAGGACTCCTTAAGCAACGGCAAGTGCCAGGGTGCCAGGATAACGCTCCCGTGTGCCAGATGCGTTGGCGTTTTACCAGAAGGAGGAGAGGGGCTGGAAGGGTCTTCACAGCTTCAAGGGGTTATGTTGCTCGAAGAAGTTCGGCCCCCGAGCTCCCTGAGGCGCAAGGGAAAAGCGCGGAGGCAGGCGGCGAGGCACTGCGGCATGAGAAAAAAGGGGGGGCCCTCGGCGGACGCGGGCCCCGGAGCCCTAGAGCCCTGGGGCAGTGCCTGGAGAGGGCCCCTGGGACGCCGAAGACAGCGACAGAAAAACATGACCCCCCCCCTTGCCCCATGGACGCTGTTGGCTCATGGGGGGCCCCGCGAAATCGATTTCTGTGTGGACCTCCGCCGGGGCGCGGTCCTGCCGAGCGATCCCGGCCGCGGCCGCGGGGGTGCTCCAGGAGGCCCCGAGTGGCCAAGACCGCGGCCAAAACCTGCATCCTCGAGGCCCTCCTCCCCACAAGGAGCCCCTCCCCCAGGATACCGCTGCTCCCGAGGCCCCTCCCAGGGGTGCGTTCTGAGCAGCTGGTCGGCCGCGGTCTTCCAAAATTTCGACGAGGACCCGGCCGTGGCATATCGGGAGTGTCGGGGTTCAACCACACTTCCTCAGTGACAGCACGCAAATCAATCGGAGGTGGGGGAGGGCGGGGCGATGGGTGGCGATCCTACAAGCTCCAAAAAACCGGCCGTGGTGATGAAGAATGTCCAGGACGAGCAGCGGCACCAGCGCATCCCCCTCATCTGACCATTTTGCTCCAGGAGGCACTGACGGAGCGGCGGAGCGGCGCCAGGAGAGGAAAAACAAACTGGAGGGGCCCAGGGAAAGACAAATACGCAGACACACAGTCCCAGGAGCCCCCCATGTTTCCCATATTCTCGGGACTGTCGTCGTCCACTGCCCTGCCTGTATTTTCAACTCGGGATTGTCGTCGTCCACCGCCCTGCCTGTATTTTCAATCTTCTCCGGGGCATGGGCGATTATTTGTGTCGTGTGTTTTCTTGAGAGGCAGCGGAAGGGGAGGACTGGCATAGGTGGGATGCTTCGACCTGGGATCGGCGATGCATCGCCGATGGATCGGCGATAGGCCTCCGATAGTGAATCTGCACCTCCCTGGGCAGGTTGGGGCCGTCGGGCCCCTCTCGGCGATCAATGGGCGATTGGGGGTCGATGCATCCCCCCCTATGCCTATCCCGCCCTATCATTGCCCCCGGCTTCTCCCTTCTGACCACACCGCAAGCACACACTGTCGCGGGGGGGAGCCGCGCTCGAAGATCTGCGCCGATCCCCCGGCCCTGGCGCACAAGGCGCATGTCCCCCCACAGGCGGATCTTGGACGAAAACTTCGAAATACCTCCAAAAATATGCGAAACACGCAAAAGACCTAAACAAATCGTCCCCATACGATTTTTGGTACTATTTTTGAATATTCCTCCTGTAGAGGGACAGGCCCGACTTAACGCCAGGGGCGGCGCCAGAGGCGCCGCCAGTGGGGCCCGGCGCCGATCCAGGAAATCCGGCGTGGACGTGCGCAAGTGCATGTCTACGGCCAAGAACTTACGCCTGGCGTGTCGCCACGGCAGCCGCAGCGGCACAGCGACACGCGATGCCCTGCAAGTGGACGGCGCGTCGCTCCGCTCCGCGGGGCGGGAGGCTCGGAAAGGCTCGGGACGTTGATGATGGGCCTGTTGTCCACCAGCACCACCAGAAGTTGGAGGGGGAGGGGGTCCTCCTCCTCCTCCTCCTCCTCCTCCTCCTCCTCCTCCTCATCATCTTCGTCCTCCTCCTCCTCCTCGTCCGCCACCTCCTTGCCCCCTCCAACTTCTGGTGGTGGTGGTGGAAGACAAGCCTGGACAGCGCGTGGCGCCGGAGCGCGGCGGGGCCAAACCGGCGGAGGCGACACGCTGCCCAGGAGCTCCCGAGCGTACGCCGCTCTTGGGGGAACCAACAGGTATCGATACCGCTACGCTTAGCTCGGGCGTGTCCCCCTGCAGGGGGATCTGGGGTGAGACATCAAAAATACCTACCAAAAAATACCCCCCAAATGCTCAACAATACTCAAAACATCGTCCCCCGACTGTTTTTTCCTATCTTTGGATACTCCTCCTGTAGAGGGACAGGCCCGACTTAAGGCTACTCCCCGGACCTCTCCCGGGGTGCGTCCTGAACAGGATTTCGATGCGAATCTGGCGGTGGCGACGAGGGCCTCCCCGGAGGCCGGAGGAGAGGAAAGCGAGGCAACGGGCAGCGCCATGGGTGCCTCTGCCTCCCCCTCCAGATTAACCGGAAAAGTTCCTGGCTGGGGAATCGAATATTCCTGGCACCCCAGGGGGTACCAACTTCGAATTGAGTAAGGTCGTCAGCCGCCACGAGGCGGGCACCGCTGCACTGGCTCAGGGGAATCCTGCTGGGTGGCGCTAGGTCCTTTCTCGGCTGTCTCCTCCGGCTCCGCGGCCCCTCCCCCCGCCCCACACGCACTCGGGGCGCGGCGCGCTTCCTGCGAGCCCCTCGCACCTCAGCAGGCCGGCCACGCAGCGGGCGACGGGCGCCCGCGGACACGCGCGCGCGGCCCAGGCTCTGAGCCTTCCTTCTCTGAGCTCTCCTCCTCCTAAGATCGACGAGCGCGCTCCACGACGCTCAAAGTATCTACTCGCAAGTCGCCGCCCTGAATCCGCCGCAGGACACCCACGAACCATCACATCGAGGAACACCTGTTTTTGTTGTTCGGACGCTTGCGAATAAGCACTTTGCGAGTAGTGGAACGTGCTCGGTGACTCGGGGGCGGCCACGAGAGGGAACGTCCAAGAGGGGGGGGGGGGCGCAAATCATGGCCGGCGGCACGTGCGCGGCCCGGTGGGGGGGCCAGGGACGCAATGAAATGAGAAGAGGCGCCGTGACATCTGGGGAAATAGGAAATAATATTATGGCCCCCGCCATGTCATCACCCCTCTCTTCCCAAACCCCCGACGTCATGTTTTTTTCCATTACGCGACCCCCAGAGGTCCGGACCCTTTCCCTAGGACCGGCTTTTCATCCCGAGTCGTTTTTTGAGGCTCCCGAGGACGCAAGGGCCCCCAGGGGCCGAAAACAACGAAAAACCTTCCGTCGAGATTTTTTCGTGACTCGAGGGGGTCTGGGCTCTTTGCCGCCCCCGAGTGACGAGAGGGCCGCGCAGCGGCGCAAAGGGCGCTCGGCTGGGGCCGTGGACCGCCCGAGGGGCCCTCAACGCACGGCTCAGCCCAGCGCGCGGCGCACCGCCGCGGCCGCAGCCTCGGCCATCAGCTGGTAGCCGCCCGCGTTGGGGTGGACCCCGTCGGGCAGCAGCAGGTCCTCTTGGTACCCTCAGGTCGGGCGTGTCCCCCTACAGGCGGATTTTGGACGACAAATAAAAAGTTGTAAAAAAAATATTCGGTTGAAAAATACAAGATCGTCACCAGACTATTTTTCACGATTTTTGAATATTTCTCCTGTAGATTGACAAGCCCGACTCAACGGTAACCAGAACCCCTCGAGTCACGAACAAAATCACGACGGGAGGTTTTTTGCTAGTTTTGACCTCTGGGGGCCCTTACTGGCCCTCGGGACCGTCAAAAAACGACTCGGGATGAAAAACCGGTCCTAGGGAAAAGGTCCGGACCTCTGGGGTCGCGTCATGCAAAAATCATGACGTCGGGGGTCTGCGCTGGAACATGGAAAACCGACACCAACACCACCAGGGACCACCAGGAGGAGGAGGAGGAGGAGGAGGAGGAGGAGGAGGAGGAGGAGGAGGAGGAGGAGGAGGAGGAGGAGGAGGAGGAGGGAGGAGGAGGAGGGGAGGAGGAAGAGAGGAGGAGGAGGAGGAGGAGGAGAGGAGGAGGAGGAGAGGAGGAGGAGGAGGAGGAGGAGGAGGAGGAGGAGGAGGAGGAGGAGGAGGAGGATAGGAGGGAGGAGGAGCCAGGGAGGGGCCCCCCCCTGGTGTGGTCCCCCTCTCGCTCGAGGCATCCCCTGGCCAGCAGCTCGGAGAGGCCTCGTCCTCCTCGCCGGAGGTGGCCCGCGTCGCTTCTCCTTCCCCCTCCTCCTCCTCCTCCTCCTCCTCCTCCTCCTCCTCCTCCTTCCTCCCCTCCTCCTCCTCCTCCTCCTCCTCCTCCTCCTCCTCCTCTCCTCCTCCTCCTGCTCCTCCTCCTGCTCCTCCTCCTGCTCCTCCTCCTGCTCCTCCTCCTGCTCCTCCCCCTCCTCCTCCTCCTCCTCCTCCCACTCACGTACGAACGAGCGAACGAACGAACGAAGCCGCGCCCTGACGGCGGCGATGGCAAACATACTGAACCTGCGGACCACATGCGTGGCGGCATGCAAAAAACTCATAGTTGTACAGTGTCTCGCGGAACCGTCGATGTAGCCTTTGTTCCCAACGAGGTCTTGGAACGAGGGCTCACGTGGAGCGTTCCCAAGAAAGGAGCCTTGCCTTCGAGGATCGGAAGGGTTGAAGTCGTTTCCTCGGCGGGAGGCCGCGGAAGGGTGGCGGAGGGCGGCGGAAGCAGAATTAGGCCGCCTCCGCGGGCGGAAGCTGGCGGAAGGCTGGCGGAAGCAAGTCGGAAATAGAGATGACAACTGTTTTGGGTTCAGGGTTTCCAGGATCCGCCACGTGACCAGAGGCCTCCCAGGTGGGATCCGAGGTAGGTGGGGTCGAAGGATCGCGCTGCATCGCCAATGCAAATCTCCGATGCAAACCAGCGAGGCGTCGGCGATGCATTGGCGACGTCGGCGATGCATCGGCGTCAGAGGCGTGACGAATATCGGGTTCCCGAAGATCGGGTCCCCCTTGGGGCTGACGTACTGCTACTCTTAGGTCGGGCGTGTCCCCCCACAGGCGGATTTTGAGCGAAACATTAAGAACACCCCAGACATGTTCGCAACTAGCCAAACATGCTCAAACACATTGTCTCCTGATTATTTGTGCTACTATTTTTTGGATATCCCTCCTGTAGAGGGACAGGCCCGACTTCAGATCATCATGTCTCTCAATATCCTGTGTGGGGCAGTGCTTTGCGACGCCACAGCCACATGAAACAGCGCAAGACACGGGTGCTGGACGGCGAGCGAGTACACCCTGCGAAATGCTTAAGAAATCATGGGTTCAGAAATTCATAGTCTCAGAACTTGAATAAAAACCCAACATGTCGATCAAAATCTTAAGATTTACATTGAAACGTTAAGAATAATCGAGACTCTGGCCAAAAACGTAAGTTTTCTTAAGCATCGCCCAAGGTGTACTATGCCAGCCCTTTCCCACGCGTCGATGGCGCACCGAGAGCACTTCGTGGGCGCCGGCGCCACGAGACGGCTCACCGCTTTTGGTACCTCACCGCGCCGCGGCGTGCGCGCCGCGAGACGGGAGGCCCATGCGGCATCTCCCGTGCTGGCTCCGAGGCGTCCAGAAAGCAGCAAGCAGAACGTCCGGTCCACTGGTTCAGCGATGTCACTGGTATGCAAGCGGTGATGTTGTTTGCACGCAGCGTTTATCGTATCGCCTCCTACACTCTTGCTGGGTCCAGCGAGCTGGGCTTATAGAGCGCATGCTTCTGCAATCGTGCCGATTTGAGGGGTTCGGACAATTGTCCTGCAGCATGTCCCCGTGACCTTTTCCCGTGTCCTTGTTTCGAACACTCGAATCTGTCGCATCTGGGGCGCCTTCAGGCGGTACCGCCGCCACACATCAATCTGCGGCAGCAGACAGCTTGACAATAATGGGAGTCAGTGCAGCGCTGAATGGGGTCAGCCCCTCTCTCCGCCCCCCGATGGCCTGGGCCCGGGAGATGCGGAGCGGCGCCTTCGCCACAGGACCCTGGCCGACCCAGCTGTGGGCTGACCCTGGCTGGTGCGTCCCCGCTCTTCGGCGACTGGCCGCAGCCGGGCTCTCCAGACCCCCTCGGCTGCACGCAAGAGTGCCCCTGGGCAAAAATGTCCTCTGGTGCGCGGCTTCTTGGGGGGCGTGAAGGGGGCCGAACCAGAGCGCGCAGGCCGCTGCTGTCGCGTCGCGCTAAGCGATCGGGGGGCCCCAGTGGGCCCGCACCAAAGGCCGCTCCGGCGAAGGGTCACTCTTACGCGTGGCCGACCCCTCTGGCGTCGCGACACAACTCCCAGCGGAACGCAACTGTATATATATATATATATATATATATATATACAAATGCGATATCTATGCACACAAATACATACATACTTACACCTGAGAAACCCCATCAGTGGATAATTTGAAAATTGATACTATGGATCTTGAGATCTACTGTGAGATCGATAGTGTAATCGATAGTGAGGACGATTGTAAGGTCGATCGTGAGACCGATAATGAAATCGATTCAATAAGATCGATCGTGAGATCAATCGCGAGATCGCTCATGCGATCTCTAGTGCGATCGCTTGTGAGAACGATAGTGAGATAGATTGTGGGATCGATGGTGAGATCGATAGAGAAGCGGGTAATGAGATCGATGGTGAGACCGATCGATAAGAAGATCGAACAAAAACACGGGAGCCCGGGAACCTCGCCGCCCTCCGAAGTCGGCCCCCGGAACCCAGAACCAGGAGCCCGGGAACCCAGAACCGGGAACCCGGGAAGCCAGCGTGCGACCAAGATCGGCGGGACACGGTCGCCAAATCACAAATTCCTGCAACGTCCGCGAGGGCCCCTGCAGTGCAAGCACTGACATGGGGAACAGCTGCATTTGGCGCTTCGCGACATGCACCTTGCCCTATGCAGGGTCGGCGCGCAGGCTGCGCAGGCGGGGCGGCGGGAGGGAGAGAGAGAGACAGAGAGCGCGAGAGAAGGCCCACAAGGACGCAAAAAAACCCTGGAACGAAGGATTGCAAAAAAAAAACTTGAACGACGTTTTTTTTGGCAATCCTTCGTTCAAAGGGTTTTTTTGCAATCCTGTTTTTTTTTGGGTCCCTTTGTTGCCGCAAGCACCATCGTTGTTACGAATCTGTCATTATATGTATACGTCTGTACATAAAAAAAGATCACCGTCCTTCCTGTTTCCTGGTCGTTTTTATTCGTCGTTTGCGAACGCGTTCCTGCTACCATTTTCAACTGTTGTCTCGTGGCCTCCTCCTTGGAGGGCTCCCTGGAAATCTCGCGTCAAATTTTTGGGGGCTGTGCATGGTAAGGATGCAAATCCATCCATGCTGTAGGTAATCCAGACATAGCCCCATGTGAAGAATTGCGTCAACGCGTGTGCAGGGTTCCAACTGATAGGTCCGAATCCGCCGACCGCTAGGAACCCAAGCTTCTAGGAGCAGTCGTGAGCACAGAAGGGGGGAGCACGAACGGAATGGGAAACGTGTCCGTTATTTTGCGCTTCTGAGTCTTTCTAGAAGCCCTTTCTGAACCGTCTTGGGGCCCTTCTGGACCGTTTTCGTGCCCTTGTGGACTGTCTCGGGGGGCAACACACCTTCACAGACCAGGTCAGATCCTACCATGACAGCATCAGATAACATTTCATACCAAGACAACACAACATAGCGAAGCATGATAACCGAACATACCATCATGTACTATACTGTTGCCAACCGCATCACGGAACAGGGCCTATACCATATCATGTCATTACATCGCGCTGCAGAGCAAATCATACCATAGCATGACATCGATGAACATGACATATCAGGCTTAATAATGAGAGAAACATGCAAGATAAGAGGAACATCATAACAGACGAAGCATCTCACGTCGCAGGCGTCAAGACGTCACGCCTGCCCGCCCGTTGAGACCAGAACAGGGCATATCAGAGCATAGCATGAAAGAACGTGACTACATTGAACTGGTTAACACATTATTGAATCCAGAAGCGGCACTTGTGCAGTGGTGGGAGGAAGGAGGAAAACTAGGGAGGAGAGGTCCGCCTCACCTCCCTCATCTTCCTCCTCCTCCTTCGTCGTCCGCCTCATCCTCCTGCTCCTCCTGCTGATGTTTTTCCTCTTCCTCTTTCAACAGGCTGCGGCCCTCTATCCGTTTCGCACCGCACCTGTTCGAAGCTTGCTTTTTCGCCCTGGGGTTTCTTTCAATTTCTTTCGTCAGGAGCTCTGGGGTTGTTGGATCCGGAGAAAACGCAAGTCGCCACCTGACCCGATGGCCGCACTGGCCGAGACCACAGGGCCCCGCGCACAGAGTTCCACCAATTAAGCGACCGCGCGCCGTCGGGAACGAACGCGTCAGGTTTCGGTGGGGATCGCTCGAAGCAAAATCAGTGTTTCGTTACGCGACCCCCAGAAGTCTGGATCCATGCCCTGGGACTGGTTTCTCATCCCGAATCGTTGTCTGACGGTCCCGAGGCCCGGTGAGGGCCCCCAGAGGTTGAAAATAGCGAAGAACCTGCCGTCGCGTTTTTTGTTCCCAGCGCGAGGGGGTCTGGGGAGGGGTCAGGCATCTGGCTGCTCGTCGAGCGGTCGGAGTGAAGCGGGGCGGGGTCCCAGAGGGGGGGTTATAGCGCACGGTGTCGGGGGGCAGCCCCCTGGAAGCCAGTGCATGCCACCAGTCGTCTGGGCGTGGGCAGTTTAGAGCGAAGGATTGCAAAAACGAAGGATTGCAAAAAAAAAACCTTCTTTTTTTGAAGGATTGCAATCCTTCGGTTTTTTTTGCAATCCTTCGTTCTTCCAGCCCCATTCTCCCCCCTACCCCCGTTCCACAAATCGCAGGGAGTAGCTACTCGCAGACGGCCTGGATCCACTGCGTCGAGGCAAACAGGCTTAAATTGCAGCAACCAACGTGGCGCTTTGGGGGACGTCTGCGAGCAGGCCCCGACTATGGCACGCTGACTAAACCCCCTCCGGCCTGCGAGCCGCAGCCCCTGACCCAGGCCGAAGGAAAACACGCCCCTGATGGCCGCGCCAGGCCGTAAGTGTACCCTCTCTTATCCGCCTCCTCTCCTCGTCCGCTGCCCTTTCGGCTAAGGTGTTGACGCAGTTAGATGATATACGATCGACTCTTCTGGCCAGAGGAGAAAGCATCTACATTCTCCATCCCACGGATCATTCATTGGTAGGGTTGGCTCTCTGATCCTTCCCTCCCTTGTACACCACTGGGTATGAAGACGGGCGCGACGACCCATAGCAGAGTCCAGAATCTCCCAAGGTTATCAGGGGGCCTCAGATGGCTCTATATGGCCTCCAGGGTGGCACAAGATGGCTCAAATTGCCTCCGACAGGCCTTCAAGAGGCTCCAAGACGGCCACAAGGTGGCTCCAAGTGGCCACAGAGCGTCCCAATGGCACCCACAAGAGGCCCAACCCCCATTCCTTCTTCCAACGGCAGGTCCCCACATGAGAGCCCCCTTACTTTGCAGAAGGGTAACCGTCATCGTCATCGTCGTCATTGTCCCAAAATGCGATCAAGAAAGAACCTCCGACTCGAGAGCTCTTCAATCTGTAGGCGGTCGGAAATCAAACCGCTGAATCCATGTGTCTGTGAAATTCCGATGGCCACCTCGAGTCAGAAGCGTCGAATGGGGGCCCGAAAAGGGGGCCCCGTTCAAGAGGTCCGTGCAGCTTACTCGTAGGCGAGGCTCCCGCTCGAGGCTTCCTCAAGATTCAGGCGACCAGGTGGCAATCAGGTTATGGTTTTACATCTTTTGCGACAGCCGCCTCGGACTAGAAACATGACGCAAGGGACCCTAAAGGGGGTATGTGGCTCGAGACACCCTTGCACAATACTTGAAGACGGGGCACCCGTTGAATGGTGATCGTGATGGTGATGGTGATCGTGCTCGCGATGGTCATGTCGTGATGAATAGGGCCAGGCTGGGGACGAGAAGGCTGGCGATGACGATGACAGAATGTTGATGGCAGTAATGACCGTAACCGGGATGCTAGTGATGACCATGCTGATGATGCGGGTGCTGATGGCGATGAGTACGACGGCGACGACGACGACCATGATGGCGATGACGACACCGATGACGATGATGACGATGACAATTATGATGATGCTGATGATGACGACGATGATTATGTTAGGATGAAGAAACTGCGAATGATGATATACATGATGATGATGGTGATGGTGATGGTGGTGAGGATGAGGATGATTCTGATGATGATGGTGATGATGATGGTAATGATGACGATTATGGCGATGGCGACGGCAATGGCTGCAGCACATCACGATCGTGGTGGTCGTGATGCTGCTCCTAATGAAGACGACGCTAACCAGATGGCCATAGCCATGATGAGCGCGACGACGACTGGCAGTGATGAAGACGATGCTTATGCTGCTCATGAAGATGGTGGTAATTGTGAGGGTGGGGGCGCGTGCTCCCATTCGTATGTGAGGTTGATGTGTTGGAAGCCGAACAAGGGCTGCTAAATCCGTGGCTGCTAAAATCGACCTCCGGGAAATTGCCTTCGTCCTTCCGGGAAGAAGCCCGTTGACTGTTTCGCGTGCCGCGCCTCATTCCGGGAACCTGTTTTTTTCTTCCGGGAGGGCCGTTTTTGCAGCCGCGGTTTTAGCAGCCCTCGCCCAGCTTCCGAATGTGGACGGCGTGGGGTTCGAGAGTTCCTGCGAGGGTGGGTGTATGAGATCAATAGCGTCACCTAGGACACTTGGAAGCAAGCTGTGCTGTTCGAGTGGTCTGGGCATGTTCGGTATGCTATCTTCCGATGTGTCTCTGAGGTCGCAAGGTGGCTCCAACATCGCTCTCTAGAGCCTCTGGAGGGGCCCAAGAGGGATCCAAGGCAGCCCAATAGCGGCAGTTGAGGAGCCCTCCTTCGCGCAAAGCCCAAATCCCTGGAACCTGACAATGTTTTGAATGATTCTCGCATCTCGGAACCATCCTTGGAAGGCTATTGGGCCAAGGGGGCTCCAAGATGGTCACAGTCGCCTTAGAATTGCCTCCAATATGGCACACTACGGTCCAAAAGATCGTCAAGGCAGCCTCTAGCACTCTAACATGCCTCTACAAGGCCCCGAGATGTCCCCAAGTGGGATCGGAACCTTCCAAAGATGCCCCGAGATTCCCGAGAGGCCTACCTCGTTCAAAAACATCTGGTGTAGCAAAGGTTGTGGCTTCACGTCTTTTCGCTTCCACTGGCCTCCTGAGGCCTCAAGATGGCCCCACAACTTCCCAAGAGAGCCCCAAGATGGGACCCAAGGGCTCCACGACGCGGCCACAGGAGCGCACCCAGATCGCCCCAGAAGAGCTCCAAGCGGTGATTTGCCGACCTCCGACAGGGGGGGTGTAAAGGAAGGACTCCCCCTTTATGATGGATGTCCTCCAAGATGGCACCAGGAGGGCCCCGAAGGCTCCGAACAGGGTCCCAATAGACCCCCAAGAAGGCTCGGGAAGCTCCCGAAATGACTCCGAGAGGGCCTCAATTGTGGTCCCCAGAGGCCTCACAGAGGATCCAATAGCACAATCTCTGCGACGCCTTCCTCATTCCCATCCGCCTCCTCCTCATCATCACCATCATCAGCAGCATCACCATCAACTATCAACATGTTGCCTTCTTTATTTCGTGAGCGTACCGCCTCAGGTCAATCGACTTCCTCATCCTCCTCTTCCATCCTCATATTTCTCCTCCTCCTCCTCCTGCTCCTGCTCCTCTTCCTCCTCCTCTCTTCTCCGCCTCCTCCTCCTCCTCCTCATCCTCCTCCCTCCTCCTCCTCCTTCTCCGCCTCCCTCCTCCTCCTCCGCCTCCTCCTCCTCCTCCTCCTCCTTCTCCTCCTCCTCCTCCGCCTCCTCCTCCTCCCTCGACATAGATCACGGCTGGCCCCCTCCCCCCCCTTGCCAGTATGCTCTTGCACGCTGCACGTCCCCGGTGAGGGAACCTCGTCCAGGGCCGAGCCCGGGGCGCACGCGGAGCCCAGCCCGGGGACGCCTCCTCCTCCTCGTCCTCCCTCCCTCCTCCTCCTCCTCCTCCTCCTCCTCCTCCTCGTCCTCCTCCTCCTCCTCCTCCTCTCCTCCTCCTCCTCCTCCTCCTCCTACCTCCTCCTCTCCTCCTCTCTCCTCCTCCTCCTCCTCCTCCGCCGTCCTCCTCCTCGTCCTCCTCCTCGTCCTCGTCCTCCTCCTCCTCCCTCCTCCTCCTCCTCCTCCTCCTCCTCCTCCTCCTCCTCCTCCTCCTCCTCCTCCTCCTCCTCCTCCTTCCTCCTCCTCCTCCTCCTCCTCCTCCTCCTCCTCCTCCTCCTCCTCCTCCTCCTCCTCCTCCTCCTCCTCCTCCTCCTCCTCCTCCTCCTCCTCCTCCTCCTCCTCCTCCTCCTCCTCCTCCTCCTCCTCCTCCTCCTCTCCTCCTCCTCCGCCTCCTCCTCCTCCTCCTCCCTCCTCCTCCTCCTCCTCCTCCTCCTCCTTCCTCCTCCTCCTCCTCCTCCTCCTCCTCCTCCTCCTCCTCCTCCTCCTCCTCCTCCTCCTCCTCCTCCTCCTCCTCCTCCTCCTCCTCCTCCTCCTCCTCCTCCTCCTCCTCCTCCTCCTCCTCCTCCTCCTCCTCCTCCTCCCTCCTCCTCCTCCTCCTCCTCCTCCTCCTCCTCCTCCTCCTCCTCCTCCTCCTCCTCCTCCTCCTCCTCCTCCTCCTCCTCCTCCTCCTCCTCCGCCTCCTCCTCCTCCTCCTCCTCCTCCTCCTCCTCCTCCTCCTCCTCCCGGTCCTGGAACGGCCGCCTCGCGCTCGCGAATGCGGCCTGCATGTCTACGAAGTCCAGGCCGAGGCCCGGGCCGCGCGGCAGGGCCCGGATGGCGTCCGGGAGGTGCTCGTCGGGATCCACCACAAGGGGGGTGACCCTGAGGGGGGGCAGGAGTTCGACCCGCTGGTGTACACCCTGCGAAATGCTTAAGAAATCATGCGCTAAGAAATTCATAGTCTCGGAACTTGAATAAAAAACCCAACATTAAGAATAATCGAGACTCTGGCCGAAAACTCAAGTTTTCTAAAGCATCGCCTAAGGTGTACTCCAAATCCCTCATGAATCATTCCCTGGGTCCGGTTTTTTGAGGTGCCTTTTTTGTCACAGGGGGGGTCCGGTTTAGTAGGGCGCTTTCTTTGGATTGGAGCTCACGGGGTCCGGTTGATCAAGGCGCCCCGTCGAAGAGGGGGGCCCGGAATATTAGGTCGCATTTGGAGGGGGGGGCCGGTGTTTTCGGGGGGGGGTCGATTGGTAAGGGGTTTGGAATACCGAGCTGCCGCAGGCAGATGCCCCCCGCGTGCCCCCCCTGCCTGCAACTCTCGGGGAGCTGCCCGCGGCTGGTGGGCATCTCTTTTGAGCGGTTCGGCTCTCAGAAGCCGATCGAGCTCGCACCTCCCCCGGGGGCACACCCCTCCTTTGTGGGATCCCGAGCTCGGCGACCACGTCCGCCTGGATCGTAAAGTTGTTGCTGACGACCCGCGGCGGCACGGACACGAGGAGCCTGGCCTGCGGGTGCCCCGCGGCCAGCTGCTTGAGCATCCTTCGGCGATGCGCCGACGGGGGCAGCGTTAGGTTGGGCATGTCCTCCTACAGGCGGATTTTGCAGGGAACATCTAAACATAGCCAAAACATATTTAAACAGAAATCAAAGGTAAACAAACATCTTCCCCAGACTACTTTCTTACTATGTTTGAACGCTCCTCCTGTAGGAGGAGAGGCCCGACTGAAGGGCAGTGTTAGGGGCAGGCCTTCCCTAGAAGGAGGGAAGAACTGCATAAACAGAAGCTTTTGGCGCTCGACGTGGATTTCTTGGATCCGCGCAGGGCCCCCCTAGCGGTGTTTCCGGCGCAGGAGTGGCCGCGAGAGGGCGAGGAAGGAGATGAGAAGGAGGCCGAGGAGGACGACATACACCAACAGAGGCCAGCGTGCCTCGAACACCAGTTGCAGAAGAAGGAAAACGGCATAAACATAAACTTATGGTGCTCCGCGCGGACTTCTTGGATTCGCGCTGGACCCCCCTCCCTGGCGCGGGGAGCGCGCCAGGGGCTGCTGGGCCTGTTTTTCACCACCACCACCAGCATAAGTTGGAGGGGGAAGGGGGTCCTCCTTCCCCTCTTATTCTTCCTCCTCCTCATCCTCCACCTCCTTCCCCCTCCAACTTATGGTGGTGGTGGTGGTGGAAAACAGGCCCATCAAGGGGCGGCACCGGAGGCGCCGCCAGGGGGGGGCACAGCGCGGATCCAAGAAATCCGCGCGGAGCGCCACAAGTTTATGTCTATGCCGCTCGTCGCTCCCCCCCCCGCCCCCTGCTGGCCGTTCCCTCTGCTTTGTCCCCTCCTGGTGGCACAATTCTGATGGGCCTGTTTTCCACCACCACCACCATATATTCGAGGGGGGAAGGAGGTGGAAGATGAGGAGGAGGAAGAAGAGGGGGAGGAGGACCCCCTCCTCCCTCCAACTTATGGTGGTGGTGGTGGTGGAAAACAGGCCCGTCAAATTCGCTACAACGGTACCTCCGTTTAGGTAGCCCTCCGCCAGCGCAGTTACTCTGCCTAGCCGCCGACGCAACAAGGTGATGCCGCGTTTTCTCCCTCGGTTCCCAGAAGGCTGCGGGGCCGCGGAGACGGCTCGAAAAGCCTCTCGGAAGGCTGGAGGCCTTCGGCAGGCTCACCCCCTCTGCCTTCCCCCCCCATGGACGCGCCGCCGGATCCTGTGAAGGTCCGCCGTGTACGTCGAGGGGTCCCAGTTAAGGGTCTTAGCGTCGTTAGTGCCAAGCTGCACGATTGCCAGGTCGAAGCCGATCTCCTGGGCGACGCGCCACTGCGGAAAGGACCAGTAGGAGGACTCCCGGGCGCGCTGCGCCGTGGAGCCGCTGATTCCCAGGTTGAGCACGTTGAACTCTTCGTGGAAGAGGCTATGGAGTTTCGCCGGGTAGGTCTCGTTGGACAGCACGTGAGACCCGTGAGTAATTGAATCCCCGATACAGACGATTGTCTTCTTACCGTTCCGTTTTCGAAAAATCGCCAACCTCTCGGGGCCATCAGCGTGAGAGACGCGCGCCACTTCCCAAACTCTTCCGCTGGGGGGGGGGAGATTTCACAATACAGAGGCGAGGCAGGATTTGCAAGTCAGTTAGAACCTGGGAGCCAGCAGACGTCGAAGCCACCCCCCAGGTGGACAAGGAAAGTCCCAGGGCGCTCTCGAGCTGTCCCCCCCCAGGGCAAACCCCCGACTCGAGGTGGTGCCCACGAAATGCACAAGAGGCCCACGAGACCGACAAAACAAGGCTCGGTAACCCCCACGGCAGACTGCAAGAGAATCCTGAGAAGCCCCGGAGAGTCCAAAAAACATATCAAAACTGGAAGCGTTTCTGCGCGCTTTGCCTTCGAACCCCAGGTTTTGAAAGCCCGGCAACCCAAATCGGTTCCGGTGAAGCCTCGAAGCTTGATTTGGGCCGCCCAAGGCCCAACGGGCTCGAAGGCAGCCCCTGGAGGTCCAAAGAGGCCGCCAAGTAGCCCATGGAGATCCACAAGACGGCCCCATAGGGTCCCATGAGAAAACCAAGTAGGTGGAGGATGAGGGGTGGAAGGGGGGGACGCGAAAAAGGGAAGGACGATGAGGAGGCAAGAGACAGCAAGGAGGATGGAGGAAAGGATGGAGGTGTTGTCCAGCCGTGGTCCCCGCGAAGCGGTGTGTATCAGGACGTGCCGTGCATGGCCATTCACTCAGTGAGTGGGTCGCCACGTACTTCCTCCTTTCAGACGCAGACCAGGAGCAGTCCAAGTACTGCCCCGAAGCTGCATCGCCCGCTTGTTCGACATCGACCAGCAGGGTCAGGCAACAGTTGAGCGTCACGGCCAGCATCAAACATCTTGCCAACATAATATGCTACTGCCTGAGCACCTCAACCTGTGTGTACAGTGCCTATCACGGCCTCCCATGTATCTGAGCCAACATGGCTACGGACACTGCTGCCGGAGGGTAATAGAGATAGCACGGGATGATGGAGTAGGGGAAGGGATGATATTAAACGAGGAATGCGCTGATGGGAAGGGGGTGCTGGCAGAGAGAAGAAGGTTGAAGACGAGAAGCGGACACGGAAAATTATGGTGAGGAGGCGGTGTATGGACTAGATGCGATTGAAGCTATGCTGACCGTGCGGCAGCCAAGAATCCGAGCACTGGCGATCCTGGAGAGGGGGAGGTCGACGGCAGAATGGCTGAGCTAATGTTTACCATGATGTAATGTTGAATAAAAGCCAGCCCCAGAGAGCATGGGACATGGAATGACAGAATCAAGAGTCGCATCGCTGACACCTGCATGTTGTCTCTTGGATCAATGGGGCCGACCGAAACCAATGCCATCGCAATGGATTGGAGCGACGAGTTAAAATACGCTGGCAATGACGATGAGATCGTGATCTGGCAAGATAGCGCACTGACGAGCCGCAAAATGGTAGGTCCCCGCCGGGATACGCGCGAGAGCAGTTGGCAAAACAAGTCCTGCCCCGCTGCAGCATCATACCAAACACTGTTCTGCGATGGGCGCGGCAGTGGCAAGCGTCCCCTCTTCAATCACCGTGGGATAAAAGCACGTCGGAAAATCAAAACATCTTTTACGACTCAGCGGGAAACACAAAGTCGGGAAGCCGGAGCACATGGGCTGGCGTGGACTCCCTTAAACACAGCTGGGGCTGGATGAAGAGATCTGCCCTTGGACAACAGAAGGACGCATTCTATTGCTCAACATCTGCTGTAGATGGCAAACGGCCACAGCGAGTCACACTGAACATGAAGCAACATGACACGACATCTGTCGATGGGTGGATCGCGCGAACAACCATACCGTCAAGCACACAACACTGAAGAACACCGATGAAGGGGCCCAAGGACACACACACACAATCGACACAGATCCCACTACTTTCACATCTGTTCTGGATTTTCGTATTCCCCCCCCATTCTTCCCATATTTTCCCAGATTTTCCGGGTGATCGACGACAAATTTCAGGTCAGGCATGTCCCTCTAGAGGGGGATTTTGGACGAAAAATAAAACATGCCCCCACAACGCCCGAAAATAGTCTAACATAGTAACACGAGTCATACCCAGACAATGTTTAACTGTTTTTGAATACTCCTCCTGTGCAAGGACGGAGCCCGGCGAACGTCCAGGACAAGGCTATTCCCAGAAGCTTACTCCCATCGCCCCCTCGACCTGCGACCGACACGCCCCCGCCCCTCTCCTCCTCCTCCTCCTCCTCCTCCTCCTCCTCCTCCTCCTCCTCCTCGCCCTCCTCGCCCTCCCCAGGAGCGCGGCGACCCGGGGCCCAGGGAGGATTCGGGGCTGGCGCGCTTCGAATTCGCCGCCAGCGCGGGCATCACCAAGAACTCACCGTCGTCCTCCTTCTGCTTGACCTGGCAGTGGAGGCGGGTGGGAGGGGGCACGAATTGGAGGAGAAAGGAGGAAGAAGAGACGGATTGAGAAGCGCGGTGAAGAAGGAATGAGGAGGACAAACAGGACGTGGGAGAGAGGTGAGGAGAGGGGAATGGAGAGGGGAGGAGGATGATAAGGAGGAGAAGGAGGAGGAGGAGGAACGGTAGAGAGGATGGGGCTGGGGAAAGGGGGAGGCGGAGGATCAGAACGGATGACAGAAGGACAAGGGGAAGGATAGGAAGAGGGGAGGGGACGTAGGACGTAGAGGGGGATAGATGAAGGGGCAGGGGAAGTGGGGAGGAGACGGGAGGGATGATCAGGAAGGAGGACGCGGGAGAGGACAGTAGTGAGAGAAATGGTCAAGCGGGAGGGGGGGAAGGAGGAGGAGGAAGGGAGGAAGATCAGGGAGAAGTGTGAGAGGGTGGAAGACGGAGGGGGAGAAAGAAGTGGTTATCACGCATGGGAAAAGGATGAGGAGGAGGGGGGGGAAGGCGGAGGGGCGGTGGGGAAGGCGGGAGGATGAGTGAGGAGGAGGGATGTAGAGAAGATGGAGCACGATGATGATGATGAGGCGGAAGAGAAATGGGAAGGAGGAGGCTGACGATCCCGCCGTGCGCTCACACCTCATGGGGCCCCTCTCGAGGCCGCTCCCATCAACCCCAAAGGGCCCGTTGCTGGCCGTCCTTGCCCTCCTCCGTCGCATACAACCTTCCACCCCACGCCCTCCTCTTCCTGCTCCTGTACCTTGGGACGCAGACGGACATACTAGTTCTGTGTGTACTCCTCGGAGGCGCGCGTCCGACCCGAACAAATAGTACCCTCATCGTGCAGTAGAGCGTTTCCCGAGCAGTGTAGCCAGAAAGCGCCCGCCACGCCGCATGTGTTATTTCTCGGTGCTCGCGTCGCCCCTGGGGGGGGGGGGGGGGGGGGCGACACACATAGTATTAGTATGTTGGTGGTAACGCTGGTACCTGCTCCTTCTTCTCAGCCTCCTCTTCCTCATCGATCGCCTTTCCCCCTCTGCGCACATGGGCAAGGTCTCAAAGTCAAAGGCTCCAGAAATGCAAGGAAGCCATCAACGGAGACGCGCATCTCCTTCTCTCACCCGATACCTGTCCGACACGCCTGATACACGTGCTTCATGCTGGGTCGCCCTGTACCACGAGGAGGAATCGGCTCCCTACTGCCACCGCGGACGTAGCAGTGATGGCAACAGTGACGCGAGGAAGCGGAGATATCAGTGAGGAGGCGGGGCAGGACGAAGAAGATGGAGGATGGTGGGGAGGAGGACAAAGCAGACATTCACCCTCATGATAAGCACCCCGACAAGCGAAGCCGTTCGTAAACGCACCTGAGGAAGGAACCGAACAGGGCAAGCCTGTTCAGTACACGCCAAGCGCCGTCTAGCAAACACCAATTATCGAGTTCGGGGTTGTTTTTCCTCCCTTGCTTCTACATGCTGGCCCCCTACATCCACAGCCTCCCCATGGCGGCGCCCGCCTTGCCCTTCTTGCCCGCATCTGCACTGGGGCCTGGCGCGGCCTTGGCGGCGGGCTTGGCGACCATCGCTGCACTCGCCCTGGGCGCGGGCCACGCGACGGGAAGAATAACAGTTCAGAGGAGGAGAAGCTACCCATACCGCTAATTACCCTTCGCCCATTTTCCGCCCTTTTCGGCCTCCTGGGAGGCCCTCGTCGCCACCACTGGATTCGCCTCGAAATCTTTGCTAGAACTCACACCAGGAGAGGTCCGGGGAGTAGCGGTATTGGTACCTCTCGGTTTCCACAGGTTCGGCGCAGGAGTGACCGCGAGAGGGCGAGAAAGGAGATGAGAAGGAGACCGAGGAGGACGACGAATACTAACAAAGGCCAGCGTGCCGAACACCAGTTGCAAAGAAGAACGACGGCATGAACATAAACTGTTGGGCTCTCTGCGCGGAGTTCTTAGATCTGCGATGGACCCCCCTCCCTGGCGCGCTCCGCGCGCCAGGGGCAGGGCCGGAGGCGCCGTCGGAGGGCCCAGCGCGGATCCAAGGAATCCGCGCGGAGCGCCAACAGTTTATGTTTGTGCCGTGTCTCTTCTTCGAGGCAGATGCGGTGGGGGCGCTGGTGCGGGAATGCGCCCAGGATGCCGCAAACCCTGGAGAATTCCGTATCTGACGAGGATGGCGGTGATATCCTTGGCCAATCCACGATTGGAGTTCCACCAGCCTCCAGCCCCTGGATTTCGTATCCAATGGTTCCTCACCCCATGCCCTCACCGTACCGGGAGCAGGAGCGTCCGCCACCAGGGCGGAAGGGGGGCCTCGGGCGAGCGGCTCTCCTCGCGATCTGCGGCCAGGCTGCTGGCGCTGACGAGAGCTCGGCGGTCGCAGCGCCTGCCTGGCTTCGGACAGCAGCAGCATGCCTCCCTGGCCCCCTTCCTGCCGCCCATGGCTGCGACAGAAAAAAACACGACGGGATGTTTTTCTAAATTTTCGGCCTCCTGGGGGCCCTCACCAGCCCTCGCGACCGTCAAAAAACGACGCAGGATGAAAAACTGGTCCCAGGGAACGGGTCCAGACCTAAAGGGGCCCAAGGACACACAAGTAAAGACACACAAATCCCAGGATCCCCTACATATATGACATATTTTCTGGGTTTTCGCCTTGCCCCCCAGTTCCTAGATTTTCCCTACATTCTCCTGGGGACCGGCGATGCATTGTGTCTGTGTGCTTTTCCCCTCCTGGAGGCCTCTGGGGGTCGCGTCACGAAAAAAAAATCATGGACCTCGGGGGCCTGGGCCCATCGCGCGCGTAGGAAGCTTCGGAGGCCGAGAGCGTGTGTGGGTGTATGTGTGTGTGTGTGCCTGCCTGTTGCGCGCACCTGGGGTTAGGTCGGGCATTTTTGCGCGCACCAGGCGGATATTGGACGAGAAATTAATATAAGAATACTCCCCACATATTTCCAACAAAAATAATGAAAAAAAACTACCAAAAAAACGTCTCCATACCATTTGTTATCTTGAATGTTCCTCCTGTAGAGGGGCATGCCCGACTTAAACCTAGGGCTATCGCGCCGTCACGCCGCTTCACAGGGAAGGTTAGCATCTGCTAACGCGTCCCGTAGCTCTGCCCAGCGGTTGGGCCTGGCTGTCTGTGTTGCGCTCTCTTCACGTATGTTTCGTGAGTGTAAGTGTTATCCCTCTCTCTCTTTCTCTTTCTCCCTCTCCCTCTATCAGTAGATATCTGTATGTTGCATATGTCTATGTTTCTCTCTCTCTCTCTCTCTCTCTCTCCCTTTCTGGAACCGATCGTGTACTCTCGAGTCCGCACGCCGTCTGGATCCGGCGACCTGCGTGGCGGTAGCTCTGCCCACTTGGTGATTCCTCTTTTGGTAAAGGCCAACTTCCTTGCGATGACTGGCTGCGTAGAGCTGTTCGTGCTCGTCTCCGTGTTCCGATGCCCCATCATTTACGAACGCTGGTGGGGCGCTTGAACAGCTGACGTGGCTACAAGAAGAGTGTTCGCTTGTTTTTGAAAAAAAGCTCGGTTGGCCGAGGGCCTGAGACCTGCCAAATCCGTCAAAGAAGAGATTGCCTGCGACTGCGCGCGCGAGTGTGTGTGGGTGTGAATGTATGGGTATGCGGAAACAGCGATGGCGATTGCTGGCTGTGTGTTGCGCTTGCGCTGCTGTGTCCTGCCTTGCGTCTCATCCCCGCCGGTCCTGCTGGTGGCACTTCGAGTCGCCTTGCCTGTGAACGAGCTGTTGGCAATTGTCCCTCGTCTCTCCCCCCTCGGCCCTCGGCTGCCCTCGCCCGGGCGTGCGCATGGCGTGGTGTCTCCCCCGGTGCGGATCCCCGCCCCATCTCCTGAGGGGCAGGCCGCGCGCGTCTGTCGCCTCGGGCACTCTGACTTGCTACGCCTCGACGCTGCGCGCGAGGCCGCGGCGTAAAAAAATGCGTTGTTCTAAGTCGGGCCTGTCCCTCCACGGGAGGGATATTCAGAAATAGTTTAAACATAGTCAGGGGACTCATTTGTTGGACTAGTTTTGAACATCTTGGGGGTATTTCTTGAACATTTCTAATTTTTGAGCCAAAATCCCACTGTAGGGGTACAGGCCCGACCTAAGCGTTGTCCATGCGGTGCGTTTCATCGATGGCTCCACACCTTCAGCTGCCCCTCCGCCTCTGCGTGCCTCTCAGCTCCCTTCCGAACGCGCCGCCGAACGGGCTGGCCGCGCTGCCGCGCCCCGGGCCACATGCACACATTTGAGTCGGGCGTGTCCCCCTACAGGCGGATTTTGGACGAAAGCGAAAAAGATACCCCAAGCATGCTCACACATAGCCAAACAAAAGACAAACAAATCGTCCCCAGACGATGTGTTTTACGATTTCTGACTGTTCGTCCTGTAGAAGGACAAGCCCGACTCAAGCATACATACGCGCTGCCGTGTCTGTTTTCTGTGTGGCAAACATCAGCACGCTTCGGTGCCAGCCCTGTAGCTCGCCCGCGTGCCGTTCGCTGCACGCGCCAAGTGGAAAGAGACTGCGAAACAGATCCGCAACCCCAATCAGGAGGGGTGAAGGCCGATGCTGCACTGTGCAGCCCTGTACCGCCAAGACCGAAACAGCGACCCCAAAGAAGTGTCGCTTGCGTGCGCGTGCTCGCGAACGGAAGATCACGAGTCCGAGCGCGAGAGGGCGCAGGTGGGAGCGCGAGCGCGAGCAAAACGCGCGAGTGTGTGGGGGAGACAAACGACGGCGTAAAAGCATACACCTCCAGAGGTCCGCGCGGACTTCCCTGGATCTGCGCTGAACCTCCCTCCCTAGCGCGCGGAGCGTGCCAGTGGCGGCGACGGAGGCGCCGCCAGGGGGGCCCAGCGCCGGTCCAAGAGAAAGAAAAAAACAAAGCGCAGACCTGCGAAAGATTATGCTTACGGCGTTTTTTTTATTTTTGCTGTTCTTTCTTCGAGTGCAGGCGCGACGGAGCGGAACGGAGTGTGGATGCCAGCGGACCTCCTCGCGCCTCCCGATCCTGCCGTCGCCAAGATACCTGCCGGCCCTCCCGCCCCTAGGGGGGGGGGGTCTGCCCGGTGGCACGGCTTGAGAAAGTGCAGCTGGGCGGCGGCACGACACGTAGAGTCCCGCTCCCATCGCTGGTAGCCTGCTCTGCTGTTGCCCTCCGCCAGGTGGCCCTGTGCTGCTCTCTCTCTCTCTTTCGTTCTACTTGCCCTAACTCCTTCCTAGTCTACGTGCCAACCTCGTGCGCACACACACATACATCTATATATCTATCTATACACATATACTTAGAGAGGAAAATATGTCCCAACTGCTGCTGCTGCTGCTACTCTACCTCCAGCCCATCATACATGTATTCCCCTTCCTCATCCTGCTTCTTCGCAGTGACATATGTATTGCATGCGTGGTCCCAGTCATCGCTGTTTTCACAACCAACCCTGCACAATCGCACCTCCGATTTCAGCGGCGGTGACCTGACGCGGACGGTGAGCGTGTGCACTACACTTGATGTCAATCCACTCTAGCGCCTGCCCCTCACCTTGACACAACCGAGCACTCGATATGTGAACTGCGGAAGAACTGAGTGACGAGCACCGTAGGATGAGGTGCGCGCGCCCTGTGCGAACGGCATAGAAAAGGAACCAATGCCAGCTCTGAGAGTTGGCTAGCCCGCAGACGAAATCACGCTTCGGAGACGCATGTTAAGCGGCAGTATCACGTACGTCTTGCGAGGTTGCCCGACATTTGCCGACAGCAGTGGCCGCTGAGCGCAAGGCAAGTGTTCCAGGGGAGACTGCCCACGCGTGCCCATCTGCTGCGAGCACAGCTGCACTTCATGCCAACGTCCCGAAAATAACAAGTCCAACATGCGCCTCAAAAGAGCTCACGGCAAAAGGAACTGGCTCGGTGCTGCGCCGACCGATGACATGCCGGCCAGAGGGTGGAGCACCAAGAAAGTCTCGCCCCCGGCGCGCTCGACTGCCACGGACCTGCGGGCAAGAAGCCAACTGCTCCGCGCCACCTGTGGTGCTCGCCTGTGCTCCGGCCGCGCTGCCGTGGCGCGGCAAGGCGAACACTGTCGGGGAGGGCGGTTTGGCCTGGCCAGCAGGCCCAAAATCTGGGAGACGGGAGGCGCAAGACTCGGGTTCGGGGGAACTCGGGTTGGCCAGACGGGGCCATCATGAAAATGACGAGACCCAGTCTAAGATTTGACGAGAGCTCCCGCTGCATGCATCCCACGAAGGCAGGGCCGTCAAAGTCCAGGACGCGCTCGTCGAAAGGCGTCGGCAAGCCCGAGTTCCGCCAAGAAGGTTGGGCCAGCGGCAGGGCGAGTACAACCTGATCTCGACCGAAGATTTCTCGGGGGCGCGCGAACATGGATTAGCGATCCATGGATTTGGCGCGCGGTCGCCAAATCCATGGATCGGGGGAGGTGCCCTCCCAAAGGTGCGATCGATGCCGCCTCGCTCGGCGGCGGGAATCCGCGATTTCTGGTGAAAACGGCACCCGTCGCCAATCCGCGCCCCCTGGACCCATGTTCCCCATCGCCCGATCCTTGACAGGAC